TGCATTAGAAATAGGATTTCATAGCAAACAAGCAGTGTTATTACCCTATGCTGGAACTTTACAGAGGTAGACATGCATTAGAAATAAGATTTCATAGCAAACAAGCAGTGTTATTACCCTATACTGGAACTTTACAGTGATAAAGTTCCAATATAGGGTAATAACACTGTGAGATCACCATGAAATCACCATACAAACTAAGTCGTTGAATTTAAAACGTTCATAAGCCAAACACAAACAGAAAACACAACGATTCATACAATAAACACTAGAAAAATACTGAAATGAGAAATCATCATAAGAATAAACTGTGAAAATACGTACATCAGATGTGTTACTGATGAGCTCACGGAGAAAGATCTCCTTGTTGCTTTAATAGGTGTTGATGATCAAACTCAGAAGCTGGTTGATCTCATGGATCAGGACTCGAGTTCACCTCCTGAGTTGTAAAACGACGTTGCCGAGGTCGGCGTATCCAGCTTTTCAAAGAAGAGCTTCTTCAATGGCGACCGCAGAGAGGAAGACGAAGCGGCAGCCCCTCTAGATCTGGAAGTATCATTGTAGTCGGCATCGGCGAATAGGAGATCATGGTTGCAAATCGGGAACACTGGACGGATCTGGCCATTTTGGAATATATCGTCGGTGGAAATTGGCGATCCGTCGGGATTGGTGCAGGTGAAAGAGAAATCGTCTTCATCTTCGTTCTTCTCGCAATCACCACCGGCGTTGGCGTTCTGAAAGCCTTCGTCCGGCAATTGACACCTCAAATCCGCGAGCTTAACCATTAGCTATGTTCATATCGGAAAAAAATGGAAATTAGCACCAAATTGAACGAAGAAACTGAAATCGAGTCAAAATTCAAGTAAATTAAGCAAAAATCAAAAGGATAATAACGAATTGAAACAGATGGAACAAACCTGAAAAGGAAATGGAGGCATCGGCGGCATGAACATGTGTGAGGCCATCGACATAACGGAGATTGTCGTCGGTCTTGTGTTGGTCTATGGCTCTGAGACTGTTTGGTTTACTTTGAAGGTAGAGAGAGGGAAGAAGGGAGAGAACAGAGGAGAGATGAGGGTTTGAAGGTAAGACAACCTTCAACCTTTCCTGCTCGTGAATCGAACGAAAACATGAGAAAATGAGGTCTTGTGTTGGTCCATGGCTCTGAGACTGTTTGGTTTACTTTGAAGGCAGAGAGAGGGAAGAAGGGAGAGAACAGAGGAGAGATGAGGGTTTGAAGGTAAGACAACCTTCAACCTTTCCTGCTCGTGAATCGAACGAAAACATGAGAAAATGACGCCGTTGAGGCCACTGGTGATGAAATTGAGGATTGAAAATTCTAAATGGAGAAGAGAAATTGAAAGTGAAATGAGCGAAGAGGAAGACGACAAACCTACGTCTTGGAAGAAGAGCCGATAAGAGCGTTGGCTAGAGCACCGAAAGGATTGGCGGAAGAAGATGAGCTTGGAACCGCACAAGCTACTCCACCAGTCATGAGCTCGCGCATCGTCATGGTCGATGTTCTTCTTCTTCTTCTCATTCCTCTTCAATCCACAAAGTAATTGTTATTAAATAAATGATAAAAAAGAATAATTTTTAAATCAGCTAGTTGGGTTGAGATTTGAGAAAAAGTAGCAATTGGTCTTCTCGGGATACCAACTTTTATGGCTTCCAGGTTGTTTTTTGTTTTATTTTTCGCATGCTTTTATGGATTCAACGTTTCTCAAAGAAGGTGAGCTGGCGATCATGGGTTTTCCTCTATACTTTATGCTAAAAGGGTAAAATCAGAATACAATATAAGTTAATAGGACAGCTGTCAATTTTTGGGTGTTTTTTGGGTGTGTTTATGGGTTTTAAATGATGTAGGGTTTATTTATAATACTAGTGTTAAGAATGGGTATATAACTAAATTTCTATTTTTTTTAATGCTCACAGAACAATTGTTATACTTGAATGCTATATGGATTTTGGAATGATAAATATATCTAAATTATTAATTTTGGGAGTATGCATAAATATATTCTCTCTTACGCGAACGGCATGTATTTTCTACTATTCTTCTATGTTTAAAAGGACAGAACTATCAAGGGACTATACTGGGCTTTAGTTTGGCGCTAAGTTTCACTTTAGGCATGAATATGAAAGTCTTGTGAAAGGGGAACCTAAGTTAATTGTAGAAAAACCAACCAAATGGTCTCCTCCTCCTGCTGGTAGATATAAACTGAATGTTGATGCAACTTTTATTCTCGAAACAGGTGTGAGTGGAATTTGTGTTGTTGTTAGAAATGACAAAGGGGAAGTGATGGCGGCTATGGCCCTTCCTCTTGCCAATGCCATCTCATCTAAACATGCAGAGATCATGGCGCTTTAGTTCGGGGTGAATTTTGCTCGGGATGCTGGCTTTTCTTCTTTCTTAATGGAGTCTGATTCACAAGGGGTGGTAAATGATGTAAAGAAGGATGAGGAAGAGTCGTGGGCATCAGACGGGCATCTTATTGATGATATTAAGAGGAATCTACAACATTCCTTTTTTCTATCGTTCTTTTTTTCTTTTTTTTTGGTTTGAACCATAAGGTGGTCCTGGATGGGCCCCAACTATGGGTGGCACCTTTAAGCCTTAACCACAACCCAGACTAATCCCCACTCACACCGGGTCGGCCCGTAAGGGGTAAAGTGTTGGCCAAAGTGGTGAACCATGGGCCCCAACTATGGGTGACACCTTTAAGCCTTAACCACAACCCAGACTAATCCCCACTCACACCGGGTCGGCCCGTAAGGGGTAAAGTGTTGGCCAAAGTGGTGAACCATGGGCCCCAACTATGGGTGACACCTTTAAGCCTTAACCACAACCCAGACTAATCCCCACTCACACCGGGTCGGCCCGTAAGGGGTAAAG